GGGGGCCCCGGGGCGGGTTCAAGGCGTTCACTTGGCCGGTACCGAGCCCTGCGTCCAAACCCGCGTCCATCCCTGTACCGAACCCTGCATCCATCCCTGCATCCATCCCTGTACCCATCCCTGTACCCATCCCTGCATCCATCCCTGCATCCATCCCTGTACCCATCCCTGTACCCATCCCTGCATCCATCCCTGCATCCATCCCTGTACCCATCCCTGTACCCATCCCTGCATCCATCCCTGCATCCATCCCTGTACCGAACCCTGCATCCATCCCTGTACCCATCCCTGTACCCATCCCTGCATCCATCCCTGCATCCATCCCTGTACCGAACCCTGCATCCATCCCTGTACCCATCCCTGTACCCAATCCCTGCATCCATCCCTGTACCCATCCCTGTACCCATCCCTGCTTCCATCCCTGTACCCATCCCTGTACCCATCCCTGCATCCATCCCTGTACCCATCCCTGTACCCATCCCTGCATCCATCCCTGTACCCATCCCTGTACCCATCCCTGCATCCATCCCTGTACCCATCCCTGCATCCATCCCTGCATCCATCCCTGTACCCATCCCTGCATCCATCCCTGCATCCATCCCTGCATCCATCCCTGTACCCATCCCTGCATCCACCCCTGCATCCATCCCTGCATCCATCCCTGTACCCATCCCTTCATCCATCCCTGTATCCAACCCTGCATCCATCCTGCATCCATCCCCGCGTCCATCCCTGTACCCATCCCTGCATCCATCCCCGCGTCCATCCCTGTACCCATCCCTGCATCCATCCCTGCATCCATCCCTGTACCCATCCCTGCATCCACCCCTGCATCCATCCCTGCATCCATCCCTGTACCCATCCCTGCATCCATCCCTGTATCCAACCCTGCATCCATCCCCGCATCCATCCCCGCGTCCATCCCTGTACCCATCCCCGCATCCATCCCCACATCCATCCCTGCATCCATCCCTGTACCCATCCCTGCATCCATCCCTGTACCCATCCCCACATCTATCCCTGCATCCATCCCCGCATCCATCCCCGTTCCATCCCCGCTCCATCCCCATTCCATCCCCGCTCCATCCCCATTCCATCCCTGCATCCCCCGTTCCATCCCCGCTCCATCCCCGTTCCATCCCCTCTCCATCCCGGTTCCATCCCCACATCCCTCGGTCCATCCCCGTTCCGTCCCCGCTCCATCCCCACTCCATCCCCGTTCCATCCCCGCTCCTTCCCTGCATCACCCGTTCCATCCCCGCTCCATTCCCGCATCCATCCCCGCATCCATTCCTGCATCCATCCCTCCCTTCATCCCTCCATCCATCCCCGCATTCATCCCCGCATCCATCCCTGTATTCATCTCCACATCCATCCCTGCATCCATCCCTCCCTTCATCCCTCCATCCATCCCTGCATCCATCCCTGCATCCATCCCTGCATCCATCCCTGCATCCATCCCTGCATCCATACCCGCATCTATCCCCTCATCCATCCCCGCATCCATCCCCGCATCCATCCCTGCATCCATCCCCGCATCCATCCTTGTACCCAACCCCACATCCATCCCCACATCCATCCCTGCATCCATCCCTTTATCCATCCCTGCATCCATCCCTGTATCCATCCCTGCATCCATCCCTGCATCCCTGCATGCATCCCTGCAACCCTGCATCCATCCCTGCAACCCTGCATCCCTATATCCCTTATATCCTTTATATCCCTATATCCCTTATATCCCTATATCCCTTATACCCCTTAAATCCCTATATCCCTATATACCTATATCCCTATATCCCTTATATCCCTTATATCCCTATATCCCTATATCCCTCTATCCCTATATCTGTTATATCCCTATATCCTTTATATCCCTATATCCCTATATCCCTTATATCCCTCTATCCCTATATCCCTATATCCATTATATCCCTATGTCCCTTATATCCCTATATCCCTATATCCCTTATATCCCTATATCCCTATTTCCCTATATCCCAAAGCCCCTCTCCATGTTCCCTGCAGCCCCTTCAGCTCTGGAGCTGCCCTCAGGTCTCCCGTTGTGGAAGCCCCCCTCAGCCCGGCTCCAGCGCCATTCCCAACAGGAATCTCCTGTGCTCCTGGTGCGGAAGGGGGGAATTCCTTCCCTGCCGTTCATCCCTGGTGGCTCCAGCGCACCCAGAGCATCCTCAGCCGTGTTGGGACACGCACAGATGGGAGCAGGGCGTTTATCCCGAGGAGCCCATTCCCAATGTCGGGAATACACAGGATAGGAAATCCGTGTGCACACACAGAGGGGCAATCCATAACCTTTAATGAGCAGGGCTTGAGTGCCAGCACCCACCAGCAACAGGCTGTGTGTCACTGGCACCCAACCTGCACCCAGCACTGCAGCCCAGTACCCAGCACTGCACCTCAGGACCCAGGACTGCATCCAGCACCCAGCACTGCATCCAGCACCACACTACACCCCAGTACCCAGCACTACACCCCAGTACTACATCCAGCACCCAGCACTGCACCCAGCACCCAGCACTACACCCCAGTAGCCAGCACTGCACTCAGCACCCAGCACTGCATCCAGCACCTGGCACTGCACCCCAGCACCCAACACTGTATCCAGCACCCAGCACTGCACCCAGCGCCTAGCGTTGCACCCAGCGCCCAGCACTGCACCCCAGTACCCAGCACCCATCACTGCACCCAGCGCCCAGCACTGCACCCCAGTACCCAGCACCCATCACTGCACCCAGCACCCAGCACTGCACCCTAGTACCCAACACCCATCACTGCACCCCAGTACCCAGAACCTATTACTTCACCCAGCAACCAACACTGCACCCAACCTGCATCCAGCACCCAGCACTGTACCAACATCCAATACTGCACCCATGACTGCACCCAGGACCCAAAACTGCACCCAACATTCAATGCTGCACCCATCGTTGCACCCATCACTGCACCCAGCACCCATCCTATACCCACCACCCATCATGCACTCAGCACCCATCATGCACCCAACATCCATCCTGTACCCAACACTCATCATGAACCCAGCACCCATCCTGCACCCAACACCCATCCTGCACCCAGCACCCATCACTGCACCCAGCACCCATCACTGCACCCAGCACCCATCATGCACCCAACACCCATCCTGCACCCAGCACCCATCCTGCACCCAGCACCCATCACTGCACCCAGCACCCATCACTGCACCCAGCACCCATCACTGCACCCAGCACCCCCCCCGGTCCCTCCGCGGGTCTCCCCGGTGCAGCCCCGTGGGTCACCCCCTGTTCCCGCTGCACCCCCGGCCCTTCCCCTCTGTCTCCCTTGCTCCCTGGGTGCTGAACCCAGGACAGGGGGGTCCTGGGGGGTCCCCGAGTGGCCCCTCCCCACATTCCCCCTTGCACCCCCCGAGTCTCCCCCCCCCCCCCCCCGTGCCCCACAGCATCCCCGGTACCTTCCTGCATCTCCCGGTGCGACCCCTCCTGTCCCCCTGCGCATCCCCCGTGTGCCTGGAGCATCCCTGGTGCTCCCTCCCCTGCATCCCGGTCCATCCCCGGTACCCGCCGTCCCAGACCATTCCCGGTGTCCCTCCCGGTGTATCCCCCGTCCCCTCCCCATGTTCTTCCCCCTGCATCCCCCGGTATTCCCGGTGCTCTCGCGGTGCATCCCCGGTATCCCCCTCCCCGTACCCCCAGACCATCCCCTGTATCCCCCGGTCCATCCCCACTGTCTGTCGCTCCCCTCCGTTTCCCAAAGCATCTCCAGGTGCATCCCCGGTGTCCCCTGGATCCCCCGGTTTTCCACCTCGCTCCCCACAGCATCCTCCCGTGGGTGGCACCCACGGTGCATCCCCGGTGCTCCCTCCCCTGCATCCCCCTGTTCTCCCTCCTGGTCCGTCCCCCGGTCCACCCCCGGTATCGCTCCCCCTGTTCTCCAAAGCGTTCCCCGGTCCATCCCCGTGCTTTCCCCCCATCATTCAACACTCCATTCCCAGGGTTCCCCCGGTCCATTCCCGCTGTCTCGCCCCATCATTCCCCACACCATCCCCGGTGCTTTCTCTTCTACATCCGCCGGTCCCTCCCCAGTGTCACTCCCCATTCCCCCGGTGCATCCCTGGTCCTCCCTCCCCTGCATCCCCCGGTTTTCCCGCGGTCTATTCCTGCTTCATCCCCTACATCCTCCGCTCCATCCCTGCATCCCTCGGTCCATCCCCGCTCCATCACCCGCAATCCCCCGCTCCATCCCTGCATCCCTCGGTCCATCCCGGCTCCATCCCTGCATCCCCCGTCATCTCCGGTCCATCCCCTGTATCCCCGGCTCCATCCCTGCATCCCTGCTCCATCCCCGCTCCATCCCTGCATCCCCCGCTCCATCCCCGCTCCATCCCCGCTCCATCCCCTGCATCCCCCGCTCCATCCCCACTCCATCCCCCGCTCCATCCCCGTTCCATCCCCGCTCCATCCCTGCATCTCTCGGTCCATCCCTGTTCCATCCCGTTCCATCCCCGCTCCATCCCTGCATCCCCGCTCCATCCCCGTTCCATCCCTGCATCTCTCGGTCCATCCCTGTTCCATCCCCGTTCCATTCCCGCTCCATCCCTACGTCTCTCCGGTCCATCCTCGCTCCATCCCGCCTCCATCCCCGCTCCATCCCTGCATCCCCCGTTCCATCCCCGCTCCATCCCCGTTCCATCCCCGCTCCTTCCCTGCATTCCCCGTTCCATCCCCGCTCCATCCCCGTTCCATCCCCGTTCCATCCCCGCTCATCCCCGTTCCATCCCCGCTCCTTCCCTGCATCCCCTGTTCCATCCCCGCTCCATCCCCGTTCCATCCCCGCTCCATCCCCGTTCCATCCCCGTTCCATCCCCGCTCCATCCCCGCTCCATCCCTGCATCCCTCGGTCCATCCCCGTTCCATCCCCGCTCCATCCCCGGTGTCTCCCCCCACATCCCCTCTTGCACCCGCCCCCAGCCCTCGCCCCGCCCCGGTGCCAGCCCGGCGCGGTGGCGGTGCGGCGGCGCAGCGCTCCCGGCCCCGGTTACCGGCGGCGGCGGCCCCGGTGCGGCCATGGCCAAGCAGTACGACGTGTTGTTCCGGCTGCTGCTGCTGGGAGACTCGGGCGTGGGCAAGACCTGCCTGCTCTGCCGCTTCACCGACAACCAGTTCCACCCCGCGCACATCTCCACCATCGGTACCGGCCGCACCGGGGAAGCGGGAGCCACGGAACGGGGGAACGGGGAGCCCTGAGCACCGGGGAACCGGGAGCAGCGGGGAGATGGGGAACCAGGGGGACAAGGCACCGGGGAACGGGAAGCGGAGCACCCGGGAAGCAGCGGCACCGGGGAACCGGGAGAGGTGGAAGAGAAGCGGCGCTAGGGAACGGGGAACCGGGGAGCCAGGAGCTCTGGGGAGACAAGGGAAGGGGGAACCGGGAGCACTGGGCGACGGGGGAGACAAGGCACCGGGGAACGGGGGACCGGGGACACCGGGGAACAGGAGCATCGGGAAACCGGGAGACGGGGGAGCCAAGGCACCAGGGAAGCGGGGACACCGGGAGAGCTGCGGGCCTGGGGAACCGGGAGCGACGGGGAGCAGAGGCACCGGGGAACGGGGGACACCGGGGGAGCTGCGGGCCTGGGGAACCGGGAGCAACGGGGATCCAAGGCACCGGGGAACGGGAAACCGCTGGCACCGGGGGCCCGGTGGGCACCGGGAGCAGCGGGGGAAACGGGAAGCCGTGGGCACCGGGGATGTCCCGGGAACACAGCGGGGATGCAGGGGAGGAAGCACCGGGAACCGCGGGCACCGGAGCGCTGGGGAGCCGCAGCACCGGGGAAGGCGGAGATGGGGGCACCTGGAACGGAAACACGGGGGCTGCAGCACCGGGAGCCGGGAACCGGGAGCATCCCCAGGGGCTGGTACCGGGTGTGGGTACGGGGGAGCCCCGGGACCCGGTTTGGCTTCACAACGGGCCTGGAGAGGGACCGGGACGGGGTGGGAGGAGCAGGGCAGGGGGACCCCGGGTGCCGGTACTCCCGGTGTGTGTGCAGGGGGGGGACGACCCCGAGAGACCCCCATAACCCCCCCCCCCCATCGCAGGCGTTGACTTCAAGATGAAAACCATCGAGGTGGACGGCATCAAGGTGCGGATCCAGATCTGGTGAGTGCAGGGGGGGGGGGGGTGAACCCGGGTCCTACCCCCCTCAAAACGGGGAGGGGGGGGGGGGCTGAGGACCGGGCACGGCTCAGGCCATGGGTGCTGAGCCCTCGGCCCCGGTGCAGGGACACGGCAGGGCAGGAGCGGTACCAGACCATCACCAAGCAGTACTACCGGCGGGCACAGGTACGGGCAAGGGGATGGGGGGGCACAGAGGAGAGGGGAAACTGAGGCACGGGGGGGGGGTTAAATGGCCACATCCATCCCCACACACACCCCATATTCCATAGGGCATCTTCCTGGGTACGACATCAGCAGCGAGCGCTCCTACCAGCACATTGTGAAGTGGGCCAGCGACGTGGATGAGGTCTGGGGCGGAAGGGGGGGGTTCCCCTCGATGGAATGGGGGGGTCCTCACGTTGCTCCCCCCTACCCCACCCCATCAGTACGCCCCCGATGGTGTCCAGAAGATCCTCATTGGGAACAAGGCGGACGAGGAGCACAAGAGGCAAGTGGCCAAAGAGCAAGGGCTGCAGGTGAGCGGGGGCTGTGGGGTGCCCCCCCCCCCCCTGCACCCCGGCATGGACGGAGTCCCCCTGCATCCACAGGGACCCCAGCAGCCCTCCTGCAGCCCTATGTGTGTCCATACCCCCCCAACAGCATGACCAGGGACCCCCTCATTGCCCCCCCCCAGTGTGACCCCAAATCCCCCTGCTGCACCCCCCACATGGACAGAGCCCCCATGGGCCCCCCTGTACCTCATAGGGACCCCAGCAGCCCTATGTGTGTCCATACCCCCCCAACAGCATGACCAGGGCCCCCCCCAAGTGTGACCCCAAATCCTCCCCCCTGCACCCCGACATGGACAGAGCACCCCATGGGCCCCCCTGTACTCCATAGGGACCCCAGCAGCCCTATGTGTGTCCATACTCCCCCAACAGCATGACCAGGGCCCCCCCCAAGTGTGACCCCAAATCCTCCCCCCTGCACCCCGACATGGACAGAGCACCCCATGAGCCCCCCTCTGTTACCCCATAGGGACCCCAGCAGCCCTTCCTGCAGCCCTATGTGTGTCCATACCCCCCCCAACAGCATGACCAGGGACCCTCATTGCCCCCCCCAGTGTGACCCCAAATCCCCCCGCTGCACCCCCACATGGACAAGCCCCCCATGGGCCCCCCTGTACTCCATAGGGACCCCAGCAGCCCTATGTGTGTCCATACCAACAGCATGACCAGGGACCCCCCCCAGTGTGACCCCAAATCCTCCCCCTGCACTCCCATATAGACAGAGCCCCCCATGGGCCCCCCTGTACCTCATAGGGACCCCAGCAGCCTGCCTGCAGCCCTATGTGTGTCCATACCCCCCCCAACAGCATGACAAAGGACCCCCCCCAGTGTGACCCCAAATCCTCCCCCTGCACCCCCATATAGACAGAGCCCCCCATGAGCCCTCCCCGTACTCCATAGGGACCCCAATAACCCTCCTGCACCCCTATTTGTGTCATTTCCCCCTCTCCAGCATTGCCAGTCCCCCCCATCATACTCAAGCCACCCCCCCCCAGTGCCTGCGCACCCCAAAGGACCACTCTTACACGTCCCTGTGCCCCCCCCATAACCCCAACCACCCCCTGCACCCCAACATAGCCCCTGCCACCCCCAAAGCACCCAGACCCCCCCCGAGTCCCCCTTGCTCCCATTGCCCAGCCCCACTGGGTGCCCCTATTGCAGCCCCCCCCCCCCCCCCCCCCATAGCCAGCACAGCCCCTCCATGTGCCCTGGGGGGGGGGGGGGGGGGAGGGGGGGGACACATTGGGGGTGCTGGTGCCCCCCCAACCCCTCGCCTGCAGCTGGCCAGGGAGTATGGGATGGATTTCTATGAGACCAGCGCCTGCAGCAACCTCAACATCAAGGAGGTATTGGGGGGGGGCAATAAAAGGGGTCAGGAGGGTCAATAAAAGGGGGGGTCAATAAAAGGGGTGTCAGGGGGACAATAAAAGGGGGCTCGGGGGGGCAATAAGAGGGGGTTCAGGAGGGTCAATAAAAGGGGATTCAGGGGGGTCAATAAAAGGGGGTTCGGGGGGTCAATAAAAGGGGGGGTCAGGGGGGACAATAAAAGGGGGCTCGGGGGGGCAATAAGAGGGGGTTCAGGAGGGTCAATAAAAGGGGATTCGGGGGGTCAATAAAAGGGGGCTCGGGTGGTCAATAAAAGGGGGGTCAGAGGGGGTCAATAAAAGGGGGTTCAGGAGGGTCAATAAAGGGGGGTCGGGGGGTCAATAAAGAGGGCTCGGGGGGTCAATATAAAGGGGGTTCAGGGGGGTCAATAAAAGGGGCTTAAGGGGAGGTCAATAAAAGGGGGTTCAGGAGGGTCAATAAAGGGGGGTCGGGGGGTCAATAAAGAGGGCTCGGGGGGTCAATATAAAGGGGGTTCAGGGGGGGTCAATAAAAAGGGGCTTAAGGGGAGGTCAATATAAAGGGGGTTCGGGGGGGTCAATAAAAGGGGCTTAAGGGGAGGTCAATATAAAGGGGGTTCAGGGGGGGTCAATAAAAGGGGCTTAAGGGGAGGTCAATAAAAGGGGGTTCAGGGGGGTCAATAAAAGGATGGTCGGGGGTCAATAAAAGGGGGGTCAATAAAAGGGGTTCGGGGGGTCAAATAAAAGGGGGTTCGGGGGGGTCAATAAAAGGATGGTCGGGGGGTCAATAAAAGGGGGGTCAATAAAAGGGGGTTCAGGGGGGTCAATAAAAGGGGGTTCGGGGGGTCAATAAAAGGATGGTCGGGGGTCAATAAAAGGGGGGTCAATAAAAGGGGGGTCAGGAGAGTCAATAAAAGGGGGTTCAGGGGGGTCAATAAAAGGATGGTCGGGGGGTCAATAAAAGGGGGGTCAATAAAAGGGGGTTCAGGAGAGTCAATAAAAGGGGGTTCAGGGGGGTCAATAAAAGGATGGTCGGGGGGTCAATAAAAGGGGGTCAATAAAAGGGGTTCAGGAGAGTCAATAAAAGGGGGTTCAGGGGGGTCAATAAAAGGATGGTCGGGGGTCAATAAAAGGGGGGGTCAATAAAAAGGGGGTTCAGGGGGGTCAATAAAAGGGGGGGTCAATAAAAGGGGGTTCGGGGGGTCCCCCATTCTCACCCCCGTTCGCAGTCCTTCACACGGCTGACGGAGCTGGTGCTGCAGGCGCACCGCAAGGAGCTGGAGGGGCTGCGGGCCCCCCCCCGCACCCCCCCCTTGGCCCGCTTGGAGGAGGCCGAGCAGCAGCCCCTGTGCAGCGAGGACACCCCCAAACCTGCTGGTGTTGAAGCATGGACACCCCCACCCCCCATGGACCCCTCTTTGGATCCCCCCCCCCCCATCCCTGGGCTGTGCTGGGGGTGCGGGATGGGGCAGCCCCATGGAGGGGGGTGATGGGGACAGATGGGGTGAGCCCACACAGCGCCTATGGGGGGGGGGGGGCGATGGGTGCTGGTGACCTCCCCCATGCCCATGGACACTCCCCCCCCCGTTTTAAACACGTACAATAAAGGTGATGCTGGAGGTGGCCGGGGCTCGGTGCTGCTGGGGGTGCTCCATGGGGCCCGGGGAGGTGGGGGGGGTCTATGGGTGGCTGTGCCCCATTGGAGCCCCTGGCACCGGGCATGGGGCAGGGCCAGGGCACGGCAACATGAGCGGGTATCAATAATTGAGGCTGTGCCGGGGCTGGTGTCTTCTTTCCAGGCCAGGGGATGGGGATGTGGGGTGCTGGGTCTATGGGTGCTGGGTCTATGGGGTGCTGTGCCCATGGGGTGCTGTGTCTATGGGGTGCTGTGCCCATGGGGTGCTGTGCCCATGGAGTGCTGTGTCCATGAGGTGCTGTGTCCATGGTGTGCTGTGTCCATGGGGTGCTGTGCCCATGGGGTGCTATGTCTATGGGGTGCTGGGTCCATGAGGTACTGTGCCCATGGGGTGCTGGGTCTATGGATGCTGTGCCCATGGGGTGCTGGGTCTATGGGTGCTGTGCCCATCACCACTGCCAGCTCAGCCCCAGCTGTGGGAGCATCCCCAGAGGGATGCAGGAGCTGGCCCTGGCATGGACAGGGATGTTGTTGTCAGACAGCTCGGTGATGGGCACTGGGAAGGGTGGGCAGCAGGATGATGGTTGGCATTGGATCCTGGTGGGCATCGGCATGGATGGGTACTGGGATGGTGATGGGCACAGGGATGGTGATGGGTACCAGATCCTGGTGGGCATCGGCATGGATGGATACTGGGATGGTGATGGGCACTGGGATGGTGATGGGTACCAGATCCTGGTGGGCATCGGCATGGATGGATACTGGGATGGTGATGGGCACTGGGATGGTGATGGGTACCAGATCCTGGTGGGCATCGGCATGGATGGATACTGGGATGGTGATGGGCACTGGGATGGTGATGGGTACCAGCATCCTGGTGGGCATCAGAATGGATGGGCACTGGGATGGTGATGGGCACTGGGATGATGATGGGTACCAGGATCCTGGTGGGCATCAGAATGGATGGGCACTGGGATGGTGATGGGCACTGGGATGATGATGGGTACCAGGATCCTGGTGGGCATCAGAATGGATGGGCACTGGGATGGTGATGGGTACTGGGATGCTAGTGGGCATTGGCATGGATGGGCACTGGGCTGGGTGGGCAGCAGGATGATGATTGGCATTGGATGGTGGTGGGCATTGGCATGGATGGGCACTGGGATCCTGGTGGGCACTGGGCTGGTGATGGGCACTGGGCTGGGTGGGCATTGACATGGATGGGCACCAGGACGGTGCTGGGCCCAAAGCAGATGGATGCCAGGGTGAACACCGGCCCTGGGACCAGTGGGCACCAGCGCTGGTGGGCAGGCAGCAGGCACCGGGACGGCGAACACCGGCAGCCCGCAGGCGATGCCAAGGCAGCCTCGGGGTGGGATCCACACCGCGCCCCCCATTCCCCACCCCATGTGGGTCTGAACCCCCCCCCCCCCGGGCACAGGGAACAGCATCCGCGCCATCAATTATTGAGCTGGGTTGGAGCATCCGCGGCCCTGGCCCCGCGCCACCGCTCCCTGCCCGCGCCGGGGCGGACGGCTCCGGTTTCCAGCGGCACGGCTCCGGCTTCCAGCCCATCACGTGGGGCCCCGCGAAGCCCTTAAGGCTGCCGGCGGGCGCGGGGGGCAAGGCGAGGCAGCAGCACCCCGCAGCCATGAGCATCCCCATCGCCAAGTCCTTCTACGACCTGAGCGCCACCTCCTTGCAAGGGGAGAGGGTGGATTTCAACGTGTTCCGGGGCCGCGTGGTGCTCATCGAGAACGTGGCGTCGCTCTGAGGCTCCACGGTGCGGGATTACACCCAGCTCAACCAGCTGCAGGCCCGCTACCCGCGGCGGCTGGTGGTGCTGGGCTTCCCCTGCAACCAGTTCGGCTGCCAGGTAAGAGCGCCGGGCGGGACGGGAGCGCGGATGCTCGCCGGTGCTGCCGATCCCCAACCCGTCGGTGAGCGTTGTCCTTGATGGGGGGCTCCTGCTTCCAGGAGAACGGCACCAACGAGGAGATCCTCAGCATCCTGAAGCACGTGCGGCCGGGCGGCGGCTTCGAGCCCAACTTCACCCTGTTCCAGAAGTGCCAGGTGAACGGCGCCGACACGCACCCGGTCTTCGCCTACCTGAAGCTCCATCTCCCCGCGCCGGCCGACGAGGCGGGGACCCTCATGGTGGAGCCGCGCTTCTTGGCCTGGAGCCCCGTGCGGCGCTCCGACGTCTCCTGGAACTTCGAGAAGTTCCTGGTGGGCCCCGAGGGGGAACCGTTCCGGCGCTACAGCCCCCGCACGGCCACGGCGCAGCTGGAGCCCGACATCCAGCGCCTCCTCAAGCTGGCCAAGTAGGAGCCGGGGCCCAGGCGCCGCGGTCCCCGGCACGCTCCCGGCTCTCCGCAGGGTGACGGTCCCCTCCGAAACGGCCGCGGGGAGGGGGCTGGATGGGGGCAGAGAGCGGGAGGCACCGTGGGGCTGCGGGTTGGGGGGCAATAAAGGAGGAGGGAGCGAACCCCAAAGTGTGCCTGGTGTGGTGGGGCTGGGGCAACGGGGAGCAGGGGGTAAAGCACCTGCATGCTGGATGGGGTGGTGGATGGAGCGGTGCCCGGCTCCCTAGGGGGGTCATGGGGGGCCAAGGGCAGCATTGCATCCCATGGACTGATTTTGGGGGTCATGGGTGCCAAGGGCAGCATCGCACCCCAAGGACTGATTTTGGGGGTCATGGGGGCCAAGGGCAGCATCGCATCCCAAGGAGTGATTTTGGGTGTCATTGGGGCCAAGGACAGCATTGCACCCTAAGGAGTGATTTTGGGTGCCATTGGGTGCCAAGGGCAGCATTGCATCCCAAGGAGTGATTTTGGGTGTCATTGGGTGCCAAGGGCAGCATCGCACCCCAAGGACTGATTTTGGGTGTCATTGGGTGCCAAGGGCAGCATCGCACCCCAAGGACTGATTTTGGGTGTCATTGGGTGCCAAGGGAGCACTGCACCCCAGGGAGTGATTTGGGGTGTCATTGGGTGCCAAGGGTACCACTGCACCCCAGGGAGGGATTTTGGGGTGTCATTGGGTGACACAACCCAAGGAAACAGGCCCTGGGGGGTGCAGTGATCCCAAAGGATCCCATGTAGCTTCTCAGCAGGGTTTGGGAGAGCAGGATGGGGGCTGAGGTGCTGGGAAGGGCTGGATCCACTCAAAGGGAAGGAATCCCATAGCCTCACAGGAAGGAAAAGCCCCCCAGGCAGCTATGGGGGCCCATGGGGGTGAAGGCTGTAACACGTCACGTTTATTGCCCCACACATGTGGGTTCCTGAGGTGGGGTGAGCACCCTTTGGGACCCCTTTGTGGGGTGATAACAAGCTGGGGACCCCTTCATGTTTTCAGCACATGGGGGGAGGCTCAGTTGTGGTGCTCCTGCCTCTTCCTGGAGCTGGGATGCGGGTATGGGAGCATGGAAGCATTCGGCATCCACCACATCCAGGCTGGAAGGTTGGAGAGGAATCAGGTAAAGGACCACGTTATCCATAGGGATCCCGATGCCAGGGATCTCCTGGTGCTGATGGGGAGTGGGAAGGGAGGTCCTGGGACACCCAAGGATTCAGAGTGGGATCCAAACTGGCTTCAGAAGAGAGGAGTCATCTGCCTGGGGTCATCAGGGAGGATGCTGATGGAGTCCTCAGCCCGGCCACAGAGCAGGCACAGCATGGTGTATTCCTGGTGGGATAGAGAGGGATGAGCACAGGGGGGTGTATTCCTGGTGGGATAGAGAGGGATGAGCACAGGGGGGTGTATTCCTGATGGGATACAGAGGGATGAGCACAGGGGGGTGTATTCCTGGTGGGATAGAGAGGGATGAGCACAGGGGGGTGTATTCCTGATGGGATACAGAGGGATGAGCACAGGGGGGTGTATTCCTGGTGGGACACAGAGGGGGGGCTGCCACTGCAGCTCCTCTGCTCTCCCGCAGGGAAACCCAACCCGGCTCCACCACCCGATCCCCGACTGCAATCGGATCCTCCAGCAGGATCCTGTTTCCAGCTCAGCTCCCCCCCCCCCCCCCGTTTTCCAGCCTTCAGTGCTGCCCAGGGAACGTGCCAGGGAGGAGGAGGGCAGAGCCATGCCTGCCTGCACCCACAGCCCCACCGGCAAGCACGAGGTGAGCTGGGGAGCCGGGCCCAGCGCAAGCATCCGGATGGCTTCTGGAAGCACAGGGAGAGCCTGGACCATCAGTGGGGTGTCCCCATTGCTGTGGGGCTGGGGGGGGGCACAAAGCGGGGTGCGGGGGGTACCTGGTAGTCGTCCACCACGCTGAAGGTGTACTCGTGGCGAGCAATGAGGTGGTGGCAGCTCCGGCACAGGTCTGGGGGGGGAGAGGACACCGGGATAAAGGGATGTGGCTGCTCCCAACCCTGGCCATTCCCATCCCGATGCCCTGAGCCCCTTGGGGGCAAAGGGATGACCCCCCCCCAGCACCTAAACCCCTTCCCAGCCATCAGCTCCCTGACACCCCCAACCCCAAACCTTGAGATCCCCCCCCTTAAGCATCACTTCCCCAGCCCGTGACCCCCCCAAAAGCATCACCCCCAGCCCCCCTTAGCATCAGACCCCAAAATAAACCCTCCCTCAGCTCCATAGGACTCAAACTATCCCCCCCCCTCCAAGCCCCAAAGGTTTCCCACGTCCCCAGACCCTAAAGCCCCCCCACCAGCCCCCAAAGGTCCCCTCAAGCCCCAAACCCCAGAGCATGAGACCCCAAAGGGCCCCCCCGAGACCCAAACAACAAAGACCCCCTCAGCCCTAAAGACCTCCCCAACCTCAGACCCCAAAGGGTCTCCCCCATCCCCAAAGGCCCCCTCAGCCCTAAAAGCCCCACCCAACCCTAGACCCCAAAGGGTCTCCCCATCCCCAAAGGCCCCCCATAGCCCTAAAGATCTCCCCCAACCTTAAATCCCAAAGAGTCCCCCCATCCCCAAAGGCCCCCCATAGCCCTAAAGACCCCCCACAACCTCAGACCCCAAAGGGTCCTCCCCATCCCCACAGGCCCCCCCCCGGCCCCAAAGACCCCACTCAGCCCTAAAGCCCCCCCCACCCTCAGACCCCAAAGGGTCTCCCCCATAGCCCTAAAAGCCCCCCCCAGTCCTAGACCCCAAAGGGTCCCCCCATCCCCACAGACACCCCCCAATCCCCAAAGGCCCTGCTCAGCCCTAAGGACCCCCCCATAGCCCTAAAGGCTCCCCCAACCCCAGAGCCCAAAGGGTCCCCCCATCCCCAAAGGCCCCCCCCGTAGCCCCAAATGTTCCCCCCCCCTCAGACCCCAAAGTGTCCCCGCATCCCCAAAGCCCCCCCTCACAGCCCCAAATGTCGTCCCCCCCCTCAGACCCCAAAGGGTTCCCCCATCCCCACAGGCACCCCCCCATAGCCCCAAATGCCGTCCCCCCCCCAGACCCCAAAGGGTCCCCCCATCCCCACAGGCACCCCCCATAGCCCCAAATGCCCCCCCAGACCCCAAAGCGTCCCCCCATCCCCAAAGGTCCCCCCCATAGCCCCAAATGTCCCGTCCCCCCCCCAGACCCCAAAGGGTCCCCCCCCCTCAGACTCCAAAAGGTCCCCCCCACCCCCACAGGCACCCCGCCATAGCCCCAAATGTCCCCCCCCCAGACTCCAAAAGGTCCCCCCATCCCCAAATGCTCCCCCCCCCATCCCGGTCCCCTCTCACGGTCGTAGGTGACGATCTCCTCCCCTCCGTGCAGCCCCGCCGCGCGGTTGCTCAGCAGCACCAGGTCCCGGCGGCCGCACTGCGCGCACCCCACGAAGTTGAGCAGGAAGGAGCCTCCCTCCAGGCACGTGGTGCCCTACGGCACCCGCACACGGTCGGTACCGGCACCGGTACCGGTACCGGCACCGGGCCCGCCCGGCCCGCCCCGGCCTACCCGCTCCGGCCTACCCGCTCCGGGTACTCGGTGCCCACACAGCCGCCGCACATCCCGCCGCAGCTCTCGCGAGACTTCCGCCGAGGGGGGGGCGGAGCTTAGCTCAAGGGAGGCGTGGTCAAGCCTCTTAGCCCCGCCTACAAGGCGGCGGGGGTCTGTTGCTATATGGGCGTGGTTTGTGGAAGGGGGCGTGGCCAAGCGGGATCACCCCCCCCCCCAACCGGAGCCGCTGCGCTGGGCTGCGGGGTCCTAGCGCCGTTGGCTGGAGGGGGTCAGGGCGAGATGGGGGTCACCGGAGCGCTTTGGGGACCCTCAGGACTGGATGGGGGTGCCTGGGGTTAGCCAGGGTACCCCCAAGAGCACCAGGGCTGGCTGGGGGGACCCAGGGCTACCTGAGCGACACCTCGGGCTAGTAAAGGGACCCATGGGGCCAGCTACGGGAGCCCCAGGGCTGGTGGGTGGGAGATACCCAGGGCTAGCGAGGGGTGCCTGGGGCAAGCTGGGCTGGTGTGGGGGGGTCAGGGCTAGATGGGGGTCATCTGAGTGCTTTGGGGAGTGCCTGGGGCTACCTGAGGGAGCCCCAGGGCCAGTGGGGCACCCTCAGGACTGGATGGGGGTGCCTGGGGTTAGCCAGGGTACCCCCAGGAGCACCAGGGCTGGCTGGGGGGCACTCAGGGCTACCTGAGCGACACCTCGGGCTAGTAAAGGGACCCCTGGGGCCAGCTACGGGAGCCCCAGGGCTGGTGGGTGGGAGACACCCAGGGCTAGCGAGGGGTGCCTGGGACTACCTGGGTGACCCCCATGGGTAGCCAGCAGTGCCCGGGGCCAGGCAGAGCTACTCGGGTCGAGCTGGGGGCCGCCACTCTGGGCTAGCGAGGGTACCCCTAGGGCCAGCTGGGGGAGCGCTGGGACCAGCTGAGAGCCTCCCAGAGGTGGCCAGGAGAGCCTGGGGCTCGCTGGGGAACAAGCAGGGATAACGGGGATAATGGGACTGAGGGATGGATGGCCAGGACTAGTGGGGGACAGCCAGGGCTAGCCGAGGGGTGCCTGGGACGGAGTGACCCCCATGGCTAGCCGGGAGTGCCCTAGGGCTAGCGGGGGAACCCTAGGGCTAGCTGAGGAAGCGCTGGGACCAGCTAGGGGACCCGCAGGGCTAGTGGGGGAGACCCAGGGCCAGTGGGGGGGTGCTTGGGGCTAACGGAGAGACCCCCAGGGCTGTCCAGGAGTGCCCGGGGCTCGCTGGGGGACCCAGGGCTGGTTGGGGGACACCCATGCCTCCCTCGGGGGGTGCACTACCCCCGTTACCCCCCCTCCCACATGGCACCCAGCACCGGTTGGGGCCACCCAGGGCTACTCGTGTCCCTGTTACCCCCCCCCCGGACCTAACGGGGTACCCGGAGCCGGGGGGGGGTTCATGGGGGCTCTGCGCCGCTCCGTGCCCGGTAGGAGCCGGTGGTGGTGGCGGCGGCCGGGGGGGGCCGCTGTGCTGCATTGCGGGGCGGGCGGCTCGTCCCCGCCCGCCTCGGCCCGGCCCTCCCGGGGGGGAGCGGGGCTATCGGGGCCGGGCAGCGCCGTGGCCCCGGGCAGGAATGTCCCTGCGCGCACAGATAATGTTATTTATATCGCGGCACACGGCGGCTCCGCTCCCCCCGCCCCGCTCCGGTCCCGGCTCCGGCCCCGGGCCCGCTGCCGCCGCCGCCGCTCGTCCGCCCGCAGCCCCGCGCAGGTGAGAGCCGGGATGCGGGGATGGGGATGGAGAGGGAGGAACGTGGTAGCGGGGGGGTACCGGGACGCGGAGCAGCGCCGCGGGGGCTGCGGGTACCGGGTAAAGTTCAGCGCTCGCCGTTATCCCCCTCGCCGGTGTCACCGGGGGTCCCAACGGGGACGGGAAGGACGGGGCGGGCGAGCGGCGGTGACTTTGTGGGGACAGCCTGGGGACGCTGTCCCTATGGAGGGGGGGGGGGGGGGGACGACGGGGACACAGCAACAACAACAACAAGGAGAGGGGTCCTGGGGGGCTCCGCGAGCATCGCGGTGGGACAGCGGGCTCCGGTGGGATGCGTCCCCCCCAGCCTGCTCGTAGCCACTGGGGCAAACTGGAGTTACTGGGAGGAGTTCCCCACCTCCTGTGTCCTTGTGTGTCCCCCCCACCTTGTCCCGGCAGCAGGAGGATGCTCAGGGATGGGTGTTGGGATGAAGGGTTCCCCCCCCCATAAGCCAGATTCCTGTTTCAAGGCACCTTTTGCCTTTGTAAATCGGCTCCTGGAGTCAGGGAATTGCGGAGCTGTTTCCCCGTTGGCTTCTCCCAATGGGATATAAGGAAAGGAGCCCCCCCCCCAACCCAGTGGGTGCTGGCCCAGCCTCCCCCCAGGGTGCGTTTTGTCGCTATGGGGTGGTTTTCGGGCCCCATGGAAGTGCTTTTGGGGCGGGGTGGGGGGGCAGCTCCTAAGAAGGGAGCCAAGGGGAGGCCTATTTATAGCCAGAAATGTGTGTGGAGCGTCAGCACGTGTGCGTGTCAGCGCGCCCGCGTTAGGGGACATGGGACAGCCCTGGCACGGCCGGCATCCGACCCGCGCCCGTTCCAGCCCTAGGGAAACCCAAACCCTCACCCATGGGTGGGGAGGGCAGCGAGGCCCAGCGCTGCCGGCAGGAGCCGTGCCGTGCCGTGCCAAAGGGCTGCGCCGTGCCCAGCGGGACCATCTGCTCCAGGCCCTTCCCATGCGCTTGGGATGCAGGAGGATGAGGGGGGGGATGTGGGAATACCCCTCAATTCCTGCCTCTTCCCAACGGGGCTGGAGATGGAGGTTGATGGAGGGGAAGCTGGAAGTGTTAACGGTGAGGTGAAGCAGCCGGGGTGACCCTGGCTCACACCGGGACTCCCCAGTCCCACTATGGAGGTGACGGAGTGGCTGTTTTGGGGTGATTTCGGGGTGTTTTGGGGTCCCCATGAGCGCTCAGGCAGCAGCAGGCAGTGTTTCGGCAGCACGTTGCGATGGTGAAGGGTGAGCCGGGGGTGCCCCGGCCACCATTGGGGTGCAGGGGGGTGGGGAGTGTCACCCCGCCACCCAGGCCCGACGTGGGGGGGACACCGGCAGCGGCACGGTGCCAGCCCCTCACCGGGAAGTGCTGATTCACGGCGCTGCCCTGGCTCCGGCCGCAGGATGCTGGTGCTGGCGACGGCGCCCCGGAATTCCAAGGGGTGGGAATGCCGGGGGCTTTGCGAGCGCGGCCCTGGGGGAGGCACTGGGGAGGCAGAGGGAGATTTAAAGGCTGCGGGAGCGCCCGCGCCTGCTGCACGCTGGCAGCTCCCTTGGGTCCCATCTCCTCCTCTTCCTCCTCCTCCTCCTCCTCCTCCTCGGATGCTCGCTCGGATGCAGCCCTCGCTGCAGCGCTGGTGATGGTGTGGGAAAGGCCCAGCCAGGACCGGCGCGGCAGAGACCCGGCACGCTCGGTGCAGCGCATCCCAGGCCTGCAGCTCCTTTGGGATTGGCGTTGGGCTTGGGGGATGTGCCCACATCTGGCCTTCCCCGGGGGTTCTGCTGCAGGACCTGAGCGCTTCCAGGGCCTTGAGCGCTCCCCTGGGCTCATTGCGTGTCCTTGCGTGCGCTCCCGTGGCCTTGCTCGCACGGGTGTGCTCTGACACGCGTGTGTTTTTACGTGCTCTGGCACGCTTCTCCAGGTCCTTGCTCACATGTGCATGCTCCTGCATGCTCTGGCACACTTATCCAGGTCCTTGCTGCTTGCGTGTGCAAGCTCCTGCATGTCCTTGCTCACACGTGTGTGTTTTTACATGCTCTGGCACGCTTCTCCGGGTCCTTGCTCACATGTGCATGCTCCTGCATGCTCTGGCACGCTTCTCCAGGTCCTTGCTCACATGTGCATGCTCCTGCACGCTCTGGCACGCTTCTCCAGGTCCTTGCTGCTTGCGTGTGCAAGCTCCTGCGTGTCCTTGCTCACACGTGTGTGTTTTTACATGCTCTGGCAGGCTTCTCCAGGTCCTTGCTTGTGCGGGCACATTCTGCCGCGCTCTTGCATGGCTTTGCTCATACATACATGCCCTTACGCACTCGAGCACGCTTCTACACATCTTTGCTCCCTTGTGTATTCTCTGGCATGCTTTTCCATGTCCTTGTTCCCATGTGCACACTCTGGCACACTCTTGCATGTCCTTGCTCACTTGTGCATGCTCTGGCATGCTTTTCCATGTCCTTGCTCCCATGACCATGCTCTAGCACACTCTTGCATGTCCTTGCTCACTTGTGCATGCTCTGGCATGCTTTTCCATGTCCTTGCTCCCATGTACACGCTCTGGCACACTCCTGCATGTCCTTGCTCACACATACATCCTCTGGCATGCTTTTCCATGTCTTTGCTCACCCGTACATCCTCTGGCATGCTTTTCCATGTCCTTGCTCCCATGCACATGCTCTGGCACACTCCTGCATGTCCTTGCTCACACGTACATCCTCTGGCATGCTTTTCCATGTCCTTGCTCCCATGCACACGCTCTGGCACACTCCTGCATGTCCTTGCTCACACATACATGCTCTGGCATGCTTTTCCATGTCTTTGCTCACACGTACATGCTCTGGCACACTCCTGCATGTGCTTGCTCCCATGTACACGCTCTGGCACACTCCTGCATGTCCTTGCTCACACATACATCCTCTGGCATGCTTTTCCATGTCCTTGCTCCCATGCACACGCTCTGGCACACTCCTGCATGTCCCTGCTCACACGTGCCCCCTCCTCCCCTGCTCCCCCCCATGCCCACGCTCTATCACACTCACCCACATCCCTGCTCCCCGTCCAACCCCAGCCCGGCCCCGGAGCCAAATCCCTGCCTGCGGGGCCACGATTACGGCACGGAGCCGGGCCCGGCCCAGCGCTGCCGGCACCGATAACGCCCCGTGCCGGTGCCCCGGGGGGTCCGGGGACACCCATGGCCGGGCTTGGGGGGGGGATCCCGGCCGGGTGCTGCCTCCTGCTCCCCTGTGGGGCCCCAGCGGCACCCCCCCCCTCCCGCCCCACCGCCAGCTGCTCAGAGGCATTTATAGACACCAACCGAGTCCCGACCGGGTCTCAAATG